ATGTCAGCCAATTTCGAAAATATGGTTTCGAGAAAAACTCATTTAAAATTTCTGGTATGATTATTAACCGTTGGGTACTCTTCCCTCTAAATGGCTATACCTTTGTTATTTTTACGAATTTTAATGAGTCGACGTTTATTATAATTGCTAAATGAAGAGGACGAGTTCCGAGTCAAAGATCAGTTGCGGGGTTTTAAAAAAGGACAGATTTGCAGTTTTGTTCTCATTAATGTTTGCAGCGTGTTTGCGAGGGATGTGTCCGATATACACATATGTATATAATCAATTCATTTTCCTTCAATAATTCTCCATTGCAAAAATTCTACAGTATTCTTACATTTTTTTATATTTTAAAATTTTCCCATGTTATTAGAAAGTAGAAAGTTATACAACTTATAATTCCTAGCATGTATAACATGTATATGTATGTAACGCATGGTTTCTTCGTATGGAAAGTCAATGAATCTTCAAGAAGCGCCCAGGTCCGATTTCGAGAAATGTAAGGTCTGTCAGTCACGATGGCTTTTGTCGTTTACTGTCGATTTGAACGGGTGTCGATGCCAGCAGGCTTGCTTTCGAGAAATGTAAGCGACGTCAGCGATGCAAGAGCGAGAAGGAAAGCGAGTATCAGCCTGTTCTTCTCGGCTCTTCCGAAACTCAACGAGCTCACGTACACACAATTGGGCATAGTGTGCGAAAGTGAGGAATGAGGAGTTTCCGGGGCCCCGATACACAGTCTGATAACACTGATTTCGAGTCGCAAATACGTTTCTGCCGAGTTATTTTTTTAATAAATGATGTATTACAATTTAAAATAAAAAATAGAGAATTTGCGGTGTACGTATCAATGAAATACATCCTTAGGAATTTTAATAATCTTGAAATTTTTAAATACTCTTAATCGATTGATTACTCCAATGAAATTAATCGATTAATGTCCAATGATGGACCCTACAGCTTTAATTCCGTTAAAAAATAATAAAATTTATGTAATTTTATTTTTTGTCTTACTTCCTCTTGTGTTAATTTCTCAATCTGTTGATAACGTTGTGAGTGACACGAAAATGGTAATGGGGTCCCGGGACCCCAGAAACTCAGGCCGAAAAATTACATTAGGTGAAAGGTCTATTCATATACCTCGTCTGTGGTGAAAGGTCTACTCGTATACCTCGTCTGTGCTTACACCTTATAGACTTTCGTGGCCTAATTTGACTGCCATACCGACCAGAAAATTCAGAGGTGATTTTAGCGTCCTCTTCTCATGAATGGCGGTCAGTTGAGAAACTATTTACTGAATTAGATGGAGGCAAACAGCTATCGTGTGCCTAAATACATGTGAGTTGATTATAGGAAGGATTGAAAAACGCAATCCAGTGTTATCAGAGGATAGACCAGTGCTCAAAGAAACCTGCCCCTCCACTTACATATAGTAATGCATAGCCACTTTGTATATGAGTTCTGGCGCTTCGTATAGTTTCGGGAATTTGAAAAATTAGGCGAATGCGAATATTCCCTTCTTGCTCGTAATACAATTGAAATCCGATCTTAGCATGTATAATAAGTATATGTATACAACACACTGTCATCTTGGTTTGGAAAGTCAACGAATCTTCAAAAAAGCGCTCAGGTTTGCTTTCGAGAAATGTAAGCGGCGTCAGTCACGACGGCTCTTGTCGTCTGTCGACAATTCAAACGGATGGCGATGTAAGAGCAATGAAGAAAATCTCACATTTGCCTTCTTTCTTTACTCCTTAAAACTGTCCAAAGTGCCGCGTTCAGTTTGGGTAATTTCGAAGACTCCCAATTTCATAGAAATCTGCTAGATGACTGAGCATTTGTTTGTCCTTAAAGTCAACAAATTCCTGGTGCACCATCAAACGTCCACCGAAGTATCTTGAAGCGCAAAATCATCACAAATTTTCGTAACAAACAAAATATCAGTAATGGAAACAATGTTTAAACATTATTCGTAGTCATATTTGTCGTTTTTAATGTGACTTTATTTACGACAAACGATTGTAATTGATTGTATATCTGCAATGATCTGTTCAGTTTGTATCGTATTTAAAAAACATTATTAAAGTATTGTACAAATGCTGTACTATATGCACGATAACGCGTGTAGTTCATTTACAAATAAAATGCAGATATTTAATCGTAGAAGCTTACTGCTGTTTTGGGGTAAAGTGCGACCGCGGAAGGCTATTGTGCTACCCATAAACGAATTCGTTTAATCAATATGCCAATCGACTCGAAGTTTTCAGTGAAAAATGTGAGTTCTATCGTTTTGCATTTTTTTCATTTCTTATTTACGGGTACCGAAAATTAAAGTTAGAAGTAATGGTATGTTTTGCCAGTATTAGTGTGTTTTTTTTTAAAGCACTTGTATCGTATCAGACATGTACCATTACATAATATAATAGAAATATACATTATTTTTGTCGACATTTAGGATTTCTTCGATTTTTAATTCATTATCTCGGATGGGTTTGAAATAACTACGATTTATCATGGAAGGCTGCATCACGGTAAAATGGCTCCACGCCAATACCGGCCGTAGTTTCTTGGAATTCGTATTTCTTCATATTCGAACGGTTCCTGTGAAATACGATGTTTCAACGGAAGGTGTCGAAATGGTCGACGTTGACACAACGCTATCGATAAACGATATCGATAATGTGTCGGGGATCACGGAAATCGTGTTAGACGCATAGTTGTAACGCATAATTATTGGTGCAGTTATCGTGTTATCAACAACAGAAAAGGAGAGGAAAATAATATCCATAGATGTTCACGAATATTTGGTAAATTGATATAATCGTCTTCGTTTGGGGATCGTTATTTTCAGATTGTACGCTTTTGACCCATAGAATTCACCAATTAACCTCGTTGATCTGCAAAATGGTAGCCAACGCGAATACTGTAACCGTTTGTCTCGACGACAGCTAATTTACGCTTGTGCGCACGTTCTTTGTTAGAATGCGATCGTTCGCAACGATTTATAATTAACCTTGCATTCGTACAAGAAGCACAACAAAACGTAGGCGCGACGGTTGAATGAAAAGAGACGATACGGTGCACAAGAAATGCAACAGAGACCGGAAATCTGCGTGCTAATCGAAATAAAGTAAACAATAAAGCTTTCGCGGCTAGCAATTTCATTGGCACTGAAATATTAAACTGCCCGTCTAATCGCTTCTTTCTCGTACTGATCGAACGATCTTTCAGCGATGTGTACATATGTACGTACAGGGTGGTTTACAAATAACGCGGAACCTAGGATTGAGATTTTCTTTTTATTACAAAATTGTACTATTAGTTCGGTAATTTTTACTTTCTGGCCAATACGGGAGGAAAATTTTGAGAAAGTTTCTCTGGTGAAAAAACGCATTTTAAACCCTTGTAATCATGTTTCGAGTATCGAATGTAATTATTTGTTAGTTTACATATGTACGTTGGGATTATGTATGTCTGTCAATACTATTGCATTTAAACGACCGAATGAATTCCAACAAAGGACAATGTTAAGTCATAGAGGGGTTTACTGACCCAAGAGCGTACAGCATATGCTATACACCGTTGGAAAGGTCTCGCCAAGGCGAATCGACTGATACCATTTTTGGATCAGTTGTTTTTCATGAAGATAATATATTCATGGTATACAATTCGCAAGGTATAAGTTGGGTATGTGCAGGTTAGTATTCAGACTAATGCGTCACTTACAATAGTGAATGGAGTGACATTTTATTGATTGAACGAAACATAATGATGTGAATACTGAATACTAACCTGCACATACCCAACTTATACCTTGCGAATTGTATACCATGAATATATTATCTTCATGAAAAACAACTGATCCATTGGCGATTTCGCCGTGGGCATTTGGAACGGGGCCCATGCGGCAAAACGCAGGCCCAACACGGCACTGAAATGAAGGTGGTGGGGCACATTTGCCGTCCCAATCTGCTAGAGTATCGCTTACACCCCTCGGTTTTTCTTCAGGTGCCTACCCGAGGTCCCTCAGGTCGGATGGGCTTTTACTACCGGTTTCTTTTGTTCAAAACCGCAAAATCTCGAACTTTGAGGCCATTTTTCGACATTATCCCAACTGATATCGAAGTTAAAAATGTTATCAGTCGATTCGCCTTGGCGAGACCTTTCCAACGGTGTATAGCATATGCTGTACGCTCTTGGGTCAGTAAACCCCTCTATGACTTAACATTGTCCTTTTATATTTAAGTGTAATATTTTTAGTAAACTGGGTTGTTTGTTGTATTCTCTGGTATACATATGTAAATCTTAGAGAGAATTAAATTTTGCATTGAAAAGTTAAATGAACACTTTCTCTATTATCTGATTAGAGAAGAAACTAGATGAAACTTTATTCGTTTCACACTCAAACCACGTTAATAAAACGCACCGTAAATATTGTTCGATTAAAATAGAATTAATGTTAATTTTTACTCCGGTTTTGGGTGACGTTATTACGCGATGATAGGAGACTTCGAAAACGTTATTAACGAGGACGTATCCTGTTATTTGCTGTGTCTAATATCGTGATCTTCGGCAGCCACCCGGTCGCTTGGATGCCAGACTATAATTCAGTCACTGTTGGAGCGTCAGACTAGGAAGAAAGCGCGAACAAACTGACGCAATAATTAAAGCGATAATTTCCCCCATTCTTTGCCAAGAATCCACATTATCCGCGACTTGCCAGTGGCCGTGCATCCGGCTGGATTCCAGCGGAACGAGGACGACACGGTGCAGAAAGGGACGCGGGACCTTATCAATATTATCACTGGCTGGCGAGGGGGTATGAAAGGGCGGCGTAATCGGGTGGTGAGTGACGGTGGTGGGGAGGGGCGTACGACGCAGGCGCTGCGAACGACCCCCCTAACGTACCGTCGTCGCCGGCGTCGTCCTCGTCGTCGTCGTCGTCGCCGTCGCCGAGAGAGACGTCGGCCCGTCGTGCCTCCTCGTATTTTCAGTACCGACCGAACGACGGCGACTAACGAAACCACGGAAAATCCCTCCCAGAAGAAGCCACTGTTCGCGTCACTCGGCTGGTTCGCTCGGCACGCGGGTTTGTGACGCCTCTGGACGCCGGTAAACGCATCCGATTAAACGTGGGAGCACGCGGGAAAGCAACAGTGTTTAGCCACCTAGCCCGAGTTGCCAGTGCCGGGTTGAATGGGACTCTTCTCCGACGGAACGTTCGCTCGGGCAGCAGGATACCCTCGAGGACGATCGGACGGGCAGTGACGCAGGAACGTCGATTTCGGTATGATCCGCGAGGCGTGGTGAACCAGGGCAAGGATACGGTTCGCTGACATCGTTCGAGGAGGAGGATCGTGACGAGGAGGTTTCTCGGAAAAGGGTGGAGCAGCTTTTTCATCGTTTTTTATCGTCGATGGTCCCGATTGGATCCGGAAGAGAAGTACGCAGCAGGAACGAACGAACGAACTGAAAGTTGTGTCGCGGATAGATCGTGAAAGAGTGGTTTCGGTGGGCAGTGTCAGTGGCCGTCGCCAACAGGTTACACGAACCCGATGAGTATTTCGAGAATTATCGGCGAGAAGTCGTAAGAGTCGCGCTCGCGCTGCCAAGTTATTGTCGCGGAGAATGAAGAAGAAGTATAAAAATAACTGTCCCTGAGCTCGAGCTGAAATGCACAACCGGCTGACCCCCGCGAAGCAGGACATTCGATTCAAGGGAGCGTGTGTTACAGCGTATCGTAGCGGCCGGGGTTCGTCGCAGTGAATCTCACGGATCACGGCTCGTCGTTACGGATAAACGCGAGCGCATATCCACCACGTGCCTTTTCTCGTCGTGATCGAGATCCACCATTATTCTCTCGTTTCCGGCATCCACCGTTTTACTCCCCCACCGAGACGAACGGCCATGACACTCGCAATTTTTTACCATCTCCCGGTACACGATCTCGCGGTCGAGAAACAGGTGACTAGGTTCGGAAAGTCGGTAGCGTGTCGTCATTAAACTCGTGAAACGCACCGCGAAGCACGTTTACCAGTTACTCACCAATCGCCACCATCAACTCCCACGTATCCCTCCTCATCCTCCTCCTTCACCACCTCAGTTTGTGGAAATGTCCGCACAATGCGCGTCTCTGAGACGTCCGTTGTTGTTCGTTCCTCCGGACGTGGAGAAGTTTGACTTCGAGCCGACGAGGTCGAATCTCTACCGGATTCTCTGCGAGGCGTCCGTCGCCGACAAGGTGCGGTCACTCTGGCCGAAATCTACGAGACAGCTTTACAATTTCTGCGAACACATCGAATCGTTGTCGCGGTGCTCGCGATACGTTGTCCTTTGGTCCTGGCAATAGATCAGAGGGAAACGGAATTGAACACGGAAAGGAGAATCCCAGGTTCGAACGGCTGGTGTAGATTGTGCGCGCAGTGTCATTCGGATTTGAGGATAAAAAAGGGTGTTCTCGTGCACAAACGAAGCTCGAGATCGTTAACGGTCACGCGTTTCCCAGATTCGTCGGTACCTTGTTCTGAAATTTGTGGGAACACCGTGTGGCGCAGGGTACATCGACTATAAATAGATGTTTTCTCGCGTGGATCGTACGTCTTCGGCCGGGGCAGACATTGGAACGGAGATACGTACAGTGGGGCCTCGTGACACGCACGTCGCGAGAGGACGCGATACCGACCTTCTCTGTGTCCTTGGATCAACGGGTAGGAATGAACCATAAGTCACCGCTGCTGCAGCCTGCTCTGATCTTTAGATATATCTAGGATAGACGAGAACCGGGTCCAAAGGAAGTCGAACCAAAGACATCCAGCCTTTTTCAAAGGGGCGTAAGCGCGCTGACTCTGTCCAGAATTGTATGCCCGAATTTTCTACTATCGAAACACCAGGAAACAACGATCGTCTCGCGTAGAAGAAGCAATTTAGGGGATGTTCCTCGAACCGAGAGCCAAAGGCACCACACGTCACAGTTAAGTGGAAGTTCCTTGGTGGCCACTTCTCCTCGTTTACTATCCAACTTCTTTTGTACGTACGTAACAAGTCTAAAAGCTGAACGAAAAGGAATACTGTCGTCCGACTAGCAACGAATCTTCTTCTTCTTGTTCGTTTTTTCGTTTCTCGCCTGTCGTTCCTTCGCCAAGAACACACAGGGCACAGAAACGAACTGTGACGAGCGTCGCCGTTATTAGCTGGTGCTTCTCTCTGTCCTCGATAATCATTATGCTCAACTCGTGCTGTGCTTTTTTCTACCGTGCTTGTACGCATGCTGCGAGTGTTTTCTCAGTGCTGTAGTGTTACGCGTTAATTATCACACCGGGCTTAACGAGCCCTCGATCGAACGCCAAACGTCTCGTCGGCCCAGGTACCTGGGAATATTCCTGAGATGCCTGTTCGACGAGGTCACGTGGCACCTAGGACAACGATCATCGAAACCATCATCAGAAAGTTCGACACCCACGGTGAGTCCTCAAACTTACTACTTTCGCGCGCAGTCTGTCGAATTTAAATAAATAAAGTTCAACAGACTGCTCGGACAAATATCAATGTCCATAGAATTACACCGGTAGTCGTCCAAAGCAATTTAATATAACGTTCTTGATCCTCTTTAGTACTATTTTAATACAATTAAAATACTTTCAGAGTAAATGCATAAATAGATTGTGGACTGACGTTAAAATATAGAACGTTTAATTCCAGTAAAAAAGATAACTAACCAACTATGAATTAAATAAATTATGTACAGTAGATTCTTTCGACGATAACAATGTCCTTCTGGCAAATTGTGACAAGTGTAATTGAAATATGTAAGTAAGTCCATAATCGTAAGAAATTAGAAACATTGATAAGAATGTGGAGCACAATAAATACGGTAATAAATACAGCGATAAATTTAAAAACACAACAAACGTTTCGTGTTTTCCTTTGTCGTAGATAATGTATCCTAGATAACTTTTGTAACTTCTGTAACGCGAAGGATAAGAAGCAATAGTAAATTACATTATACAATTTCGCAAAATTAATTTGAAGAACGGGGTGGAGTTTTGGTATACTTTCTATGAACTTCTAGCAATTGTAGAATGAAGGAATTTGAGCTCATCTTCTTGACTTCTATAGAAGTTACGAAACCTTACAATATACTTTTAAACTGAGACTGGTTGTCCTTGGTTCGTTTCAGTTTTATAACTTTCTATCATTTGTTATTGTGCTTGAGCTGTTGAGTAATGTAACGATTCAAGAAAGTACATGTCTCCATTACCTTCAATGCACTCATCTTTTTTCCAATACGTGTCTGTTTAAGTAATGAGAAATAGTTTCGTACGTCTTTCGTCAGTGACAACAGAAACGTATTATAAGGATAGAGAAAGATTAAAGTTCTGGGTTAAGGGAAATGTGGTACCAACCACATGTGGTACCATGTGGTTGATTTTTCTTCCTACAATAACTGTACATCAAATAATTTTCCAATAATGTAAGTCAACGAGTACGTGTTCGTATCAAGTTCTCAATTAATTCATCACGTGTTGTATACACGCAATCAAATAATAAAATTTTATTTAATTGTGGACGCTCAATTGTACGGTAGAATTCGCATCCATTCGCGCATCCTTGTCTTTCTATTTTAATTTACAAAATTGAATATACATTTACCACAGTCTTTTTTGCTCGATGTAAAGATACTTCATTTACACTGTGACTTGCAATGTGATTGATATATGCCGGAATGTGGGGAAAAATAACTAAAAGTTGCTCGTTTGTAACGTTTGTTAATTTTCTGAATTGAAATATCTGCTGTCAATCGTTTACAAACATTTGTCCTTCATTAGTCGTCGGTTTAGTTCATTTTCAAAAGATGCAAACTACAATGACATGGAATGGAAACTATTGATTTTTCATCGTAAGCAAGGAAAATCTTAACGCGCAGCTGCAAAAATCGAATCTAAATAATCGAAACGCAGAATTCAGTGTAATGGATATTGTCTGTTGAACTAAAAATCAGGTTTCAACAATATCGTACAGTAAACAAAGAATATATAAAAAAAAAACTGTTATCTGCAGAATGGAGAAAAACATGCAGTAAATGCATTAAAAATTCAGTAAAATCGATTAACAGTCATTTTAAACGAGTGAACAATACAAAAAATATTCTATAAAAGGTTTGGTTTATATATTTCTAAAATTAGCATTTATATTTTTAACGTAATGAACCGTACGCGATTTCTATTGCGTGATTTTTTACTTGTTAGGTCATTTCATAAGTTCGTGCTGAATTTTGAGCTAGAATCTATAATAATTCCTACTTATTTTTTCGACAGAGGCATTATTCAATCTCTATAAAACTTTTTTGATTTTCTATTAAAATGTTATTCAATACTAGCATTGGTAAAATATTACTTTGTTTCTAATCAATAATCTCCCAACTTTTGCATGTAGTAATTTTGGTAACTTTGCTGATTGGTCAATGTTTATACTAGACGTAATAATTTCATTATTTGGTCTCAAAATAGAAAATGTTTCTATGATTTCACCAAACACGTATAAAAATTTTACGAGGACGTAAACTCAACTTGGGATATCGTGATCGTTCTTATTTAACAATGTTTTTATCGAAGAATGTCGTATAAAATCCATCTATCTAGTTTCTAGATACCTTGGAAAATGTTCTTTTTTATTACATGCGAGCAAAGATGTGCAAGCTGTTGTTAGACGATTAAATCGTTTTCACTCCATAAGCTAGTGTGAAACCCGTACTTTCAGCTTCATCATCTCCATTTTTTCCCAAATCTCTATAATTATTGATGTTGGAAGAAATATCGAAACGGTACATTTTATTTTCTCCTACTATGTTACGAAGCTAATATATTTACACACTTATAAACGTTGTATTTCAGTAATTATTCCAAGAAAGGGTATAGCCGAATAAGGGGGTCAAATGTGCCCCCAAACCGAATGGAACGAGCCACGGGTCATTCGATAGCAAAAAAAAAATAACCCCTGTGTGCAAATTTTTAACTTGAAATCTCGACCGTGGGGGTAGTAATGGGGTGAAAACGAAAATCATGTTTTTGAATTATTTCTCTTGACCTATTGAGTAAAAAAATGTAAAAAAATTCAGAGACATTTCGGGTACCGGGGCACATACTTTGGGAGATTTTCAGATTTTTTGATTGAAGAACCAGGTAGTGAAAAATAAAAAACAGCAAAAAATGCCGAAAAATGCCGATTACGTATTGAAGGAGGCCCGGAACTACTTTTATACTTTTACAGTAAACAGGTATTACTATTACTATTATTCTCAATTTTTTTCAGATTCTTCATTTTGGTGCGCCGCAGTGAAAAAAAATAAAAACCGAGTTTTTCCTCATTTTCTGCGTATTAGAGTAACTTACACGTTGAATTTTTATGCATCCTTCAATATATAAGTGTTTTGTAGACTGTTTAATGTTTCTACACTAAGCAGAATTACATAACAATTGAAACAAATAAAATAAAGCCAACCATTGGGTATATATCCTAAAAAATCAACGATATTTTCAACGGCGTTGATGGCGCAGCGTTAGAGTGTCCGACTCCTGAACCGCTGGAAGTTTTTTTACCGTAGGTTCGAGTCTCTCTTCTGGACTTAGTATTTTTTCTTCTTCATTATTTTTTTTTTCAAATTCTAACTATATAACAATGCTTTATATTTATTTATAAATGTTCTGATAGCATTTTACAAATATTTTAACCTGAAATATGTATAAATATAGTCTTGGAGTGTTTTTTGCGTTTTTATTTTTTTTGTCAACCACGATTATTGTTTAACATCTCTTACACTGAAATTAATGTGAAATGTTAGTTTTCAAATCTCTTACCTTTGACTATTGTGAATGGATCGGAGCAGAAGATTGTATATTGGCTTACTATTACTTCTTCTCGCCCTTCGATCAAGCAGATCTTTCCTTCTCGTTCTCTTTCTTTGATAAATATGAATGTTTGCTGCGGCTTTAGTATCTAACGTAGACATGTAAGGGTTATTATCCTTTCCTTACTGCTGGTTTTAAAGATAATGAAAACACTTGTAGGACCAACCTCTACGGACCATGCCAAATAATTATGTATAAATCCCATCGCATACAGTAGCTTGAACTGAGTAATTAAAAAATACATTGTGAAACCCGGACGCGACAATCACCCATTGACCTGAACGGTCTGGGCCCTCACCCAACGAACCTTTATTTCCTTCGTAACGCAGGTAGGACAATTAATCATTTTTCCCCGTGGTTTCCATCGAGCAATGATACTTCATTCAAAAATAAGCATGAAACGATCAAACTGGTACTTAAAAATGGGTTTATTAGAAAAAAGTATCATTGGCAGAGAGTGGGTTAATAGATTTGGCGTGGAATGGCCCTTACATGTCTACGTTAGATACTAAAGCCGCAGCAAACATTCATATTTATCAAAGAAAGAGAACGAGAAGGAAAGATCTGCTTGATCGAAGGGCGAGAAGAAGTAATAGTAAGCCAATATACAATCTTCTGCTCCGATCCATTCACAATAGTCAAAGGTAAGAGATTTGAAAACTAACATTTCACATTAATTTCAGTGTAAGAGATGTTAAACAATAATCGTGGTTGACAAAAAAAATAATAACGCAAAAAACACTCCAAAACTATATTTATACATATTTCAGGTTAAAATATTTGTAAAATGCTTTCAGAACATTTATAAATAAATATAAAGCATTGTTATATAGTTAGAATTTGAAAAAAAAAATAATGAAGAAGAAAAAATACTAAGTCCAGAAGAGAGACTCGAACCTACGGTAAAAAACTTCCAGCGGTTCAGCAGTCGGACACTCTAACGCTGCGCCATCGACGCCCTTGAAAATATCGTTGATTTTTTAGGATATATACACCCAATGGTTGGCTTTATTTTATTTGTTTCAATTGTTATGTAATTCTGCTTAGTGTAGAAACATTAAACAGTCTACAAAACACTTATATATTGAAGGATGCATAAAAATTCAACGTGTAAGTTACTTTAATACGCAGAAAACGAGGAAAAACTCGGTTTTTATTTTTTTTCACTGCGGCGCACCAAAATGAAAAATCTGAAAAAAATTGAGAGTAATAGTAATAGTAATACCTGTTTACTGTAAAAGTATAAAAGTAGTTCCGGGCCTCCTTCAATACGTAATCGGCATTTTTCGGCATTTTTTGCTGTTTTTTATTTTTCACTACCTGGTTCTTCAATCAAAAAATCTGAAAATCTCCCAAAGTATATGCCCCGGTTCCCGAAATGTCTCTGAATTTTTTTACATTTTTTTACTCAATAGGTCAAGAGAAATAATTCAAAAACATGATTTTCGTTTTCACCCCATTACTACCCCCACGGTCGAGATTTCAAGTTAAAAATTTGCACACAGGGGTTATTTTTTTTTTGCTATCGAATGACCCGTGGCTCGTTCCATTCGGTT